CATTAATTAAATGCAAGAGCAATAGAGCAAATTTTAAAAGGCCAAATCACAATCCTCCTAACACCATTTTCTCTGCTGAGTGAGGCATTAAAACAGAAAAATGAAGCTGTTATGAGATTAAACTACAGCTAGCAGCATTTAAAGCACTTTTTTATCACTTTTAAATATTTCCTCAAATAGGGAGAAACACACACACACTCTCTCCCTGTAGGTTCAATGTCATACCATTAGTTCCAGCTCTCACCTCAATGGGGTATTCATCTTCCATGGGGCAGTTGAGATGGTTTCCAAGGTGCTCATCTCCTTCCTCTTGCTCAGGCGAGTCAGATGGCTCTGGAGGAGGGGGCGAATGAGGTCGAGTTCGAGGGGAGGCGCCCCCTGCACTGGCCTGGTCCCGTTCGACCAGGAGGGTGATGGTGGGGGAAGTGCCGGTAAGCAGCGCTACTGCCTGGTCATGTCTGGCATCTGTCATGTCTACACCATTGATCTGGAGTGACAGCCAAACACCAGTGGGTCAGAGAGGGCCAATATGCCCTCATGCTGAGCTTGTGACATCTTACGGGCTTTTAATTGCGGTATGTAGCATTTCATTTAGCTGGGTTTTCAAGGAACACTACAGTCCAGGTCTTAGTTATGGGAAAAAACGTTCCTGGTACAGAACTGATCTGGATCATGTGACAGCCAATGCTGAGCCCTCTCATGCATACAAAGGGAAAGTGATTTCCACTTCACCTACATACTTGGTTTTAAAAACCTGGGTTCTCAGTGAAAAATCATGCATCAAATAAAATGTTGAGACACATTTGACCAGGGAAGTGAAAAGAGAAGGGAATGTGCAATAGGAGAAACAGGAAGTGCTGGAGATGCTTTAGGTAGCAAGATCACGTAGTGTGTTAGAGAAAGTATAAAAACAGCAGCCTCTATAAAACCATGTCCAAACTCTACTACAGCTTGTCATATTTAAAGGGGTCATATGACGTTGCTAAAAAGAACATTATTTTGTGTATTTGGTGTAATGTAATGTGTTTATGCGGTTTAAGGTTAAAAAAACACATTATTTTCCACATATTGTACATTATTGTTTATCCTCTATGCCCCGCCTTTCTGAAATGAGTCGATTTTTACAAAGCTCATCGGTCTGAAAAGCGAGGTGTGCTCTGATTGGCCAGCTATCCAGTGCGTTGTGATTGGCCAAATACCTCAAGCGTGTGACGGAAATGTTACGCCCCTTACCATACTGTGATGCCGTGTCCCGGTCAGAGTGACGAGACAAAAACATTAAAACCCATTATAAATGAGGCATTTGTTGCATCCAGTGGGGACATAATTACTGATTATAATGAC